AAACTGCTGTCGAAGCTTTTATGATACATAATAATGATAATACGATACTTGTGGCTTGGCGTGGCGCGTTGGCTGCTACCAGTCGCTCAATGAGACTGAAAGTAAGTAACGCCCGCTACTACTAATTCCAGGACGGGTGACCACCAGGGTTCGTATAGTAGTAAAAACCTTACCAAACATACACGTGTCTGCTTACCTAATAACACCTTACCGTGCCAACCTTACCAACCTTAAAAATAATAATAAGATGAAACGCACCTATCTATTCATGTATTATATTACAATATTAGTCACCGTAATTATTTGAACAATAATCAATAAATGGTTTGAGAATTATGTGATTATATGTGTATGAGTACATGTGATTATTTTATCTAAGGAAATTTATTATTTCAAAAAGTACTAACTATTTTAAATTTTAAATTTTTTATCCACGTTGTTCTAGATTTGTATATATTTTAGATTCTGAGTGAAACGATGAATGTATTGATTTTACAATGATGTGTGTTTTTTATTTTTTTATTAATTTTTATTTTTTTTGTGTCTGTGTACACGATAAGTAGTCGAAATAATGCTTCGATTTTCAACTTCAGTATCTTGTTCGATTGGAAAGTGAATATCGTTGGTGCATTGAGGAGGTTAAAATTTAAATTTCCTAGTAGTTTTCAAAAGCGCCGGGAAAAACAAAAGAAAAATTAAGGAAAAACGGGAATTTTTACGCAAAATCTGTTTTCGAGAAAATCGATTTTGGTTTTTGGTGTAACTTGAAAACAAATAACCATAGATACATGAAATTTTCAGTGGTTGTTTATATTTGCATTTTCTATACACGATAACATTTTCAAAATATTTTGATTTTTTTTTAACTGTTTAGGGACATTTTCAGTTTCCAATTTCATTAATTTTTTTTTTATGAATATTAATAAAAATTTATTTGTTGAGTAAAAATACTTGAAAATTTAATACAAGGCTCCTACTATATTGTTTCAAAGACAGATGAAAAATATTAAAAATCGTTAGTCACAGTTTTTTTTTTTAAGCATTTAAAGTTCAAAAAATGACAAAATATGGAAAAATCACGAAAATTTGCAAATTATTTCGAGTTATAAATTCATAAAAATTTTTCTTTTTAAATCTAAGACATGAAAATGTAATACAAGATTCCTTATAAGATTTCCTACATTTATCAAAAAAAAAATTCTATAAGAAAGTCATATTAAATTTTTATGAGCGTTTGAAATTCAAATTTTTACAACATTGGATATTCACTTGATTTCTCATCTAGCGATTTCCTTATTTTGTTGTAATTCAAAAACAAATAACTGTAGATACATGAAAATTTCACTGAATGTTCATATTAGCATTTCCTATACACCATACAATTTTGAAAATATTTTGACTCTTTTTGAGCCGTTTACGGACATTTTCAGTTTTCAATTTTTTTAGCTTTTTTTTCTATAAATATCAATAAAGTTTTATCTGTTGGGCCAAAAAGTGTAAAAATTAAGACCAGGCTCCTGATATATTGTTACAATATTAGTTGAAAAATATTAAAAATATATAGGCACAATTTTTTTTTATAAGCATTTAAAGATCGCATTTTGACAAAATTTATCAAAATCTCGAAAATTATCAATCATCGTAATTAATAAATTATAAAATGTTCAGTTTTTATATCTAAGGATTGAAAATTTAAAAAAAAGATTCTCATAAATAGTTCATACTGTGGCCAAAAAATCTAAAAAATATATGAGCACAGTTATTTTTTACAGACATTTTAAATTCATATTTGGAAAAAATTACATATTAAAAAACCTAGAATAACTAGGTATTTTAGTTATTTTGTTGTGATTGTATAATATTATTCGTGGGTACTTGAAACTTCTAAAGTGTACTATTATATATCTATGATAGTATCACGGTTTGTTGTTGATGTATAATGCTTATAAGTACCTAATGGATATTGGGATATGATTAATTTGGAATTTACTATAGGTCAATTTTTTTTTAATACCATAGATATGTATATAATATTTCTTAAACCTAGACTAACGTACCGTCTTCGCTCAGAATCGTTTTTCTTATACAATGATATTGTATCATTGAATTCAAATTTAATAGCATCAATTATACAGTGACCCACTTGTAACCTACTGTACAGCAGAGCGACATCCACTTACCCACCTTTTTAAGATTTTTCACTCTTGTGTTTATTGGTTATCTTGTCCTACGGTGGTCATATCATGGTTAAATGGTAACATGATATTGAAATATAACTAATACCAGGTTATCGTGAATCACACAACAATAAGCTGAGTAGAAAATGGTTAGGTTATAAGTATGGTTTAATTTATATCCAAGACGTACCTAGTTAAAATATTATAAAATATAAGAACAAAAATATATAAATTGATTTGCGAGTCGTTAGTGGCTAAAAGCATTTCCATATTTTATTTAATCAAACATAATATAAGTACCTAAATTGGTAAATGGCATGTGAAATAGATATTTGGCGAGTATATTTGTACAATTTATTGGTAAGTGTCGGTAGTTGCAAAAATTAAAATAAATAATACCTTGTCATTAAGTTTCAATATTTTACATTCAGTTTCATAATTCATACATATACAATTTTAGTTTAAATGTAGACCTGACCTATAATAGATTACTGGTACCTTCTGGATAATATATATATATGGCTTGTTATACAATATAATGGTGTAGCACTACACATAAATATCACAAAGAACTACGTTGTACCTGCGAGTTATTGTAGTTTTTTAGTTTTGGTATTTAAATTTGGGTATATTGATAATTTAAGATAATCTTCATTTACTACAATTAATATGCTTAGACAAAGATTTGAAGGACATAGGTACAGGTTCTTTAAAAATATTACATAATAGAAGATTTTATGTGTCATGACCTTGAGCAAGTATTTAAGTGTCGTTGAGATTTAAATTTTTTATTAGTTTTTACTCATTATAAATATTATATGGACACGTGGATATAAGGTCAATAAATCCAAAATGATATTTTATGATTTACTCGAGTTGAGTAATGATGATTCAATGGATACTTATAGAGAAATTAAATAAGGTGGGTAAGTGGATGTGACCAACCACAGTTTATAATCCCCTCTAACAGCTAATGGCCATAGTCAACGGGTGTAAGTGCAATAAAAAAAAATAATAATAATAAGATAAAACGCACCTAATTATATAACATTGTTCACCAAAATTATTTGAACATTAATTGATAGATGGTTGGAGAATTATGACACTATTATGAATATACCTACCTAATATATACCTAATAACAAAAATTAACAATGATTTGTAAAATATAATAAATCACACCATTAAAATAATTCGTATAAAGGTACTTATGAAAGATTAAAATAAGGTCTGAACCATTTTTTTTTTAAATCCATAAAGTCTTTCATGTATAGTTGTAGCATGTATGTTGTCAAGTGAACCTAGGATATAAATATCCGTAAAAGAATCTAATCTTCCAGTGAACCAAGCAGTAGCACCTCCACCGATAAAAATGTCATCATGCCTATTATAATTTCCATAATACAATTTTAACAAATCATGACTACGAACTAGTTCATTGTTTATAGAATTCAATATTTCTTAACATGGAATCTCGTATTTTTTTGTCATTTATCGCTTGTATTTTTTGATTGCACAATTATTCATTCAAGTATTATATAATATATCCCCGCCGGACCACTTAACTGAGAGTGACATCCTCGCATGTGAAAATCATACAAGTTATAAAGATTACAACTAAATATATATATTATAATTAAATAATATATTCATTAAACTGGATGTTATTTAAATAAACCAATTATAAAGCAATATTTTTTTGGTCACAAATTATGCCCAAAATTAATATAAAAGAAGGTTTTTGTGACACAGGTAATCAGTTTTCAAAAATAAATTTACCGAACGGTTACTTTAATATTAATTTAAAATGTGGTTACGTCCGGAATTTTTGTTAACGTGCCTAATTATAAATGTTTTTATTATCGACGCGACTAATGATGCACCCAAAGACGAATGGTGGCATAATTCTTATATTTATCAAGTATTTATTAGAAGTTTCAAAGACAGTAACGGTGATGGTGTTGGTGATTTAAATGGTATTACAAGTAAATTAGAGCATATTAAAGATTTGGGCATCTCTATTGTATGGATACAACCATTTTATCCAAGTCCAATGTCAGATTTTGGATACGATATCACCGATTTTAACGGTATTGATCCGTTATTCGGTAACTTTAATGATTTTGATAAACTTATTGAAAAAGCCAAGACATTAGATATGAAAATTGTACTTGATTTTGTGCCAAATCATACTTCTGAAAAGCATCCTTGGTTCGTAAAAAGTATTTTGCAAGAAAAACCATATGATGATTATTATGTATGGTTTGATGGGAAAGAAGTTAATGGAACAAGAAAACCACCTACAAATTGGCTAAGTATTTTTCATGGTCCAGCTTGGACATGGAATGAAGAACGAAAACAATATTACTACCGTACATTTGCAAAAACACAACCTGATTTGAATTATCGTAATCCAAAAGTCAATGAAGAGATGAAAAATTTTATCAGATTTTGGCTTAAAAAAGGGATTGATGGTTTACGAATTGATAGTTTTCCCAGTCTTGTCGAAGGAAATCCAAATGAAGCTTTTCCATTGTTAGACCAACCAAAAAAACCAAATACAACTTATGACGACGATTTTTATTTTTATCAAGAACCGATTTACACATATGATCCTACTGGGTCTTATCCAATATGTCAAAGTTGGCGAAATTTTCTCGACGAGTATTCAAGTTCAAAAAAAATACTTTTAGTAGAAGCTAATTTCCCACCGGAACTAACTGAAAAAACAATAAACTATTATTATTATGGAGCAGATATACCAATGAATCTTCTTTTTTAGTAAGTGAATTAATAAATATTATAAATCTTTATTTGACGGCGATGCCGAAAGGTAAATCGCCGAACTGGGTATATAATAATCACGATCGTTCTCGCGTTGTATCGAAATTTGGAAAAAATCGTGCCGACCAGATGATCATGTTAACTACTGTGTTGCCGGGTATCGTTATTGTATATCAGGGCGAAGAAATAAGTATTGAAAATCGTCCAATGACATGGGACGAAACAGTAGATCCAGCTGGCTGTAATTTGGGCCCCAATCGATATTACCTAGGATCCAGAGATCCATACCGTTCGCCGTTTCAATGGGACAATACGACCAGTGCTGGTTTTTCTACGAATAATAAGACTTGGTTGCCCGTACACAATAATTACAAAACATTAAATCTTGAAACACAAAAAATTGCGAAAAATTCTCATTATAAAATATTTAAAAAAGTCGTCGCTTTGAAGCAAAAGCGCGTCGTACGCGAAGGCAAAATACAATTTATAAATATAGACGAAAAAGTATTGATCGTCATACGACACCTAGATGAAGATTTTGAAAAGGTCAAGGGTCCGGATCAACAGGATTTAGCGGTTTTACTCATTAATTTTACTAATGATATGGTTCGTGTCAATTTGTCTAACTATTTGAATGTTAAAAACTTGACCGTCTATGTTGCAAGTCTTGAATCACACATAGAAGTCGGTTCTAAAATTGAAGAGGATCATATTGATTTACCACAAGCGGCATCAGTTATATTTGTGAATAACTGAACCGAACAGCTAAAAATTATGTTTTCATAATCACAATGAAAAATATAATTTAAATGGTTGTAATTAATTATCTACACTATTATCTTAACTGATATTACAGGTAACATTAGATTTAAAACCAATTACAATTATTATAAGTATACATTTTGCCAATAAACATTTTGTTGTATTATCATATTACTGAAATTGTAATTGCCTTTTTTTTTTTAAATTTTTTTTATATTTTTTTTTTTTTACTTACCTTTACATGAATGTGCTGTGGAAAATTCCATATAGTTTTCTAAAATGTTCATTAAACTTTGAAAATAGTAACGCACAGTAAACTAAAGCAATTTGGAGCTACTTAGATCTATATACATTCAACATCATTTCACTAAATTACTGTTTATTTATTTTGTTTATATCTACTTAGACATTAACGTTAAACTTAAATAAAAACCACATTTGCTCATTGTGCACAAACAATCATTCAGCGTATTAGATGATAATCCGAATATATTTAAATGATTATTTTTTTCGTTAGAATACATCATGACATGAATACAAATAAACGACTGGTGCAGAGTAACCGTTAATGACATAGCTAGGTACTATACTTTATTGTATTATACTTAACCATCGACCACAGACATATAGAACAGCTAGATAGTCGACTATAATATTTGTTATTGAAGCCGAGACTCATAGGCGCAATTTGGGGGGTGCTTGGGGGTGCTTAGCACCTCCAAATTTTCAAGAGCATCATTTAATTGTTATTGATTATACACGTATTATGTCATAGACAACAGGATAAATTAATTTCTAAGATTTGACTTATATAATAATAATAATAAATAATAATATAAATTATATAATAATACCTAGGTATAATATATTATATAAAATAAAATATCAAATATGATACATGATACACACATAGATAATAAAGATAGATATCTCTATGCTAGCCCGTATCCGTAAGTCGTTAATTGAATTCATAATAATTATAAATAGGTACCTAACAACCATGTATATAATATATTGTTGTGATTAATGTAATGTAGGTTTATTTTGTAAATAAAATAATCATGTGAGGATAATATAATTTCAGGACGTTGTGAATATTGATTTAACATCATTAAAAGCAGAAATGTTGCTGACAAAAAATTGTTTACAAAATAGAAATTTGGATTTTGATATACTTGGAATAAAGAAGTGGTGACTGAAGATGTTTTTCCAAACTTGTTTAAACTTGTTCAAGTAGGATTAGCTATTGAAGCTATTCCTATAAGCTCAGCTACTTGTGAAAGGTCTTTTTCATCTATGCGCCGAATAAAGAATTGGCTTAGGACAAGCATGGAACAGTCAAAATTTACAGATTTGTCAGTTATTAATATTGAGAGAGATCTATAAGCAATAAAATTGATAAAGATAAAATAATAAATAATTTTGCTATGTCTCAAAGGCTTATATCTTTAGTATAATATTTAAATGAAAATAAAAAACGTATTTACCTGTATTATATATTTAGTTTTCAAATATTAATAATTATTGATTAATCAGGTAGTATTATGAATGCATGAATGGTGTTATGAGGGGGTGTGGGGGGCAAAGCCCCCCACGGGTTACTTTGGTCCACATAAATCTAGCACCCCCATAAATTTAGCCCAAATTGCGCCTATGAGCCGAGTCCCCATGCTGTCCGCTCCTAAACGGCAATTTTTACACTTTTATATGATAACAATGATAAAAAAAGTGCTCTGCTGTTTCAAGTGGGTCACTGTATAATCGATGGTATTAAATTTGAATTCAATGATATAATATAATAATAAGAAAAACGATTCTGAGCGGAGACGGTATGTCAGTCTAGGTATAAGACATATTAATAATATTTTAATATTTTTCAACTGTTATTGTAACAATATATCAGGAGCCTTGTATTAAATTTTTACACTTTTTGGCCCAACAAAATTTAACTAGGAACGAAGTGAACGGGATCAGCTATAATATATATATAATTAATGGGTTTTTGAGTCTTTGAACTTATATACATAAGTTATAATATTGGCTATTGCCAACTATTTCACCTGAGGTAACTTTTTCCCAAGCAACACCGTGTTTGACAGCTAGTGTAATATATACTTATGCATTTTGAAGTATCAAATACTTTTTTTATGTTTTTTTTTTAAATAGCGTAGACCCGCAAATAATTTTGTAGTTAAGATTACTTAAAATGATTAATTATTAATAATACTTAAATAAACCATTTTTTTTTGCAATGATATTTTTTTTATTATATTAAATAACGATATTAGAAGAAAGTAGTGGTACAAAAAACATAATATTTTAACAATATGTAGGTAATAATTATTTACAAGTGCAGATGAGTGATAAGTGACGATGAAGAAGTGCTTACAATTTGGTTGACAACGATTATTATACATGTTAAATGTAGGCGTGTGTGCCGGCTATTCCGTCGTCCGATATTCGGTAGATCCTCCACGCGTGGATGTCCAAAAATCACAACGTATTCCAGAATTCGACTGGAAGTGGTGGTTATTTTTTTACAAAATTATTTTCGCCTGCTGGCCACGGCGTCCGAGATAGGAACCACCAGCTGTAGTGGACACAAACAATATATATATATTACGGTAAAAGTACGAATAGCGGTAAAACCTAGGTTTTGCCGACTGCTGGCGGAAAATGTCCGAATTTCGGGCATTTACCGATTGATTTCGGTAAAACCTAGGATACGCAAAATAGTTTAGTCAACCCCCCTAATGATTTTTGTAGTTTGGACTTTTACAAACGAGATTTGGTAAATCTTAGGATAAACAATCCGTGTTAGTAAAAGTCCGAAATTATTATATTATAATTTATTATGTTAAATTAAATTAATGTTATTACTATATATTATGACAACAAATTTTTATTATTATTATTATAACTATAAATTATTATATAGCAAAATTGAAACTATTGCGTTCATTTTACAACGATCGATTTTAGGGATTTTCATTTCAACTTAAATATAATAGATTATAACGGAAGACCTTGACACGTGTACCTACTCATACAGTCAATAAATTAGCCAAAAAGGTACCTATGTCCTATCTTAATGATGTGATAAAAGTTGTTCCTATAATACGGCCTATACAGTCTTTGACTGGCGGACAAGGGTTAATGAGGTGCGACTGTTTTAAGAAATGTATAACAAATCGATGGACGTGTCGATCCAAAAATGTATTGTGCAATTCAAGATGTCACAGTAGCCAAGCCACCACAAACAAATAATTATATTGTTGTAATAAAATATAATAATAGTTTAAACTCTTGTAATAATAATAAAAATAAAAATTTGTTGACATAATATTATATAATAATAACATTAATTTAATTTAACATAATATATTATAATATAATAATTTCGGTTCGGTAAACAATTTCGGACTTTTACTAACCCTGATTGTCTATCCTAAGATTTACCAAATCTCGTTTGTAAAAGTCCAAACTGCAAAAATCATTCGGGGTTTGACTAAACGGGGACCATTGAATTGGCTCCCAATATTAGGTAAAGTACCTCATCGAACATTGAATTGGCTCCCCAGAAAAGGATTATTGAATTGGCTCCCAATATAATTTTCAACAAGTGGTTCTCATAATATAAAAGTTGGAAAAGTACGCGACTTTAATATTTTAACACAGGGCCGGATATACTGTTTGCAATTATCTAATCGTTTATCCGATAACGCATTATAAATGGTCATAATCATATCATATATCATTAGTTCGTCGCAATCCGTCGCAATAATCGCAGTTCGTCTCAATCACTCGCAGTTCATTGCAATTTGTCACATTTCGTACCTACATATATTCAATATAAAATGAATTCGGTTGAAAAAATGTTTAGTGAAAAGGGAGAATTAATTTTTATAATAAATAAGTTTAAATTTAGCTATCATAAGCTTCTCCAAAATGAATTTAAACGATTCAAATGTACTAAACGAGGATGCACAGCTTATTTAAGAATTTGTAAAAACGAAAATGTTGTATGGGAATCGTCCAATATTAATCATAGCCACAATCCAGATGAAGAAAACAAACTTGAACGCCAAATTATTAGTAACGGACTGAAAAGAAAAGCCATCGAAAGTATATGTGAACGCCCTTCTAAATTGTTTCATTCGTACTTAAGGGAAAATTCAACAAATTCAATTACAACGCAAGATGTTAAATACATAAAACATAATATGCTTCAAGCTCGAGCTTCAGTACGTCCAAAATTACCCAAAAATAGACAAGAAGTGCATGATATTTTACAAACCATGGATATAAAAACATATGACGGTAAACAATTTTTACAAACGAATGATGCGGAAAAAGGAGTGTTATTCTTTAGCACAGAAGGAAATTTAAAATTTTTAAGTAAGTTGACTACAATATATGTTGATGGTACTTTCTCGTGTTGTACAAAATTTTTCTACCAGTTTTTCACAGTCCACGTAATAAAAAATAATCACTATATACCTTTGGTTTTTACTTTACTAAAAGATAAAAATCATGAATCGTACATAAACATTTTTAAAATTATCAATAATTATTGTTTAAATTATAATAATCAATTCGAAATAAAAAAAATTATGTTGATTTTGAAGTTGCTATACATAACGCAATAAATGAAGTTTGGCCGTTGAGTGAAATTCGTGGTTGTCGGTTTCACCTAGGACAATCCAAAAACTGGGCCTTTCTACAGAATATGAAAAAAAAACAGAAATTGGTGAATATCTGACGTATATATTTGGTTTACCATTTCTAGATCCGCAATCAGTCGGTGATTGCTTTTCATTCGAACTAGCTGAGATACAACCAAATAATGAAAAAATTATAAAATTTATGGACTACTTAGTTGAAAATTATATTGAAAATAATTCTTTATTTCCACCTCACATTTGGGCAGAAAAAAGCAGTAGTGTCTGTCGTACAACTAATTCATGTGAATCTTTTCACTCTAAATTTAATTC